TTTCTCAGGGGAACACAGAGTCTTGGTGGACTCTCCGCATTAGGGTTGAGCATATTGATTGTGGAGCCAAGCAAGCTGAACTGTTAACAATCTCTTCATCTAGCATGATGCTGCCAATTGGCCCAGTGGTGAGAATCTCTACTTTCTTGATGTCGAGCTTCAATCCATATTGAAGGCTGCAATCCTTGACTTTGTGCACCAATAGTATGTAAGACTTGCTTCACAATCTAGTACAGGGTAAAACTTTGTGACTATTTCATGTGTTGCAGAGACTTCTGTTTTCTGTTCAGTAAGGTAAGCTAATCATTTGGGCTGCTCAGATTTCTACTACTTTCCGCATCTGTTCTGTTTATCAGTGAGAGAGATATGCTAACATCTTTCACTGTAGTTGTAGATATTTGTGCAATGCTCCAATTAGTTTGGGAAATACTTGTCATGTATATTCTTAAAGAATGTAATTAGATGCATGTGAATGTGGCAACATTTATTTCTGTTGTTGTTGGTTATGTTATGTGCCATCGAGTCACATGCAACTCATAGCGACCCTACATACAAGAGCCCTAAACGCTGCTCTATCCTGTGCCAACCTCACCATCTCCAACACACTTACTCCCACCACCCCAATCACAGAATTAATCCACATTATTGAGGGTCCTCCTCTCCTGTGCCATCCCTCCACTCTCCCAAACATGACGTCCCTCTCCAAGGACCAGTCCCTCCTTGCAACATGCCCCAAATATGTCAGACGAAGCTTCAAAATCCTTGACTCCAAGGAGTAGTCTGGCTTCACCCTCACCAGGACAAACCTGTTTGTTCTCCTAGCTGTCCATGGTATATTCAACACTCTTCTCCAGCACCACAGCTCAAAGGCATCAATTCTCTATCATCCCTATTCACTGTTCAGCTCTCCAGTGCATAGTACACAACTGTGAAGACTATAGCCTGGATCAGTCGCACCTTAGTCTCCAGCCAGACATCGTTAGTACCCTGGAGAGGTCTCTGACAGCTAACTTTCCCAATGTAATTCATCTCTTGATTTCCTGCTGATGCCAAGAGTGTTGACTGTGGAGCCAAGCAAACTAAAACTGTTAACTATCTCAATCTCTTCACCATTCATACTGATGCTGCCAATTGGCCCAGCGGTGAGAATCTTTGTTTTCTTGATGTTGAGCCTCAATCCGTATTGAAGGCTGTAGTCCTTGACCTTCTGCACCAAGCACTTCAGGTCTTCCTCAGTTTCAGCAAGCAGGGTTGTGTCAAATTCTTTTACTGGGAAACTTACTTTACATTTGAGTAAAAGCTTATAAATCATATTGTCCATTCATATGGACAATCATGGAATTACTTTTATTAACTTCTATCATGTAGGAGTGGCATCCACTTCCTATATAACATGCCTCCAGAAACTCTATGAACTTTGATAAATGTCAGTATTTGTAGAGGGGCTTCAGACTTTTTTTGTTCATAGGGTCGCTATGAGTCATGCTTGAATCAAAGGCAATCAGTAACAACAACTATCATGTTTTATAAAATTAATTCTAATTGGTTAATGTAATGATTTTGTTACTCTCTGGTCAAGTTCTTATTGTATATTGCCATTTTCTTCACCCAGTTTTCATATTTTTACTCTTCTCTTCCTCCCTTTTCATGTATTACTCATCCAAGAATGATTCTGTGTACAAACTTTTTCTTGGGTTTTTATAAACTTTTGCTTCGGTCTTTTACAATACTTGACCTTTTTTGAATGACTTAGGTCCCTAAGCATAATTTCTCTAGATTCAGCCATGCTGTGCAGAATTTCACAAACTTGCTGTAAGTGTTTTAGTGATGTCTAACAATCCACTGCTTGACTGTGCCGGTTACTCTAGCTGTTCATCCACTGATGCACACCTGAGTTGTTTCCAACTCTTCATGATTATGAATAATGCTGTAATAAAAATGGGTGGGGATCAGAACAATCTGACTAACACTGAGAATCCCAGAACATTTAACTGTGCTCATGGTTACTTCAATGTTAAGTATACTCAGAGAGCTTTGGTGGTCTAGTGACAAGGAGCTGTGCTGCCACCCTGAATGTATGTGGTTCAAATCCACCAGGTGCTCTGCTGGAGAAGGATGGGCAATATCCTCCCATGTGACTTATTGCCTCTGAAAACCCACTGGAGGGTTAATTACGGGTTGGTTGCAATTCAAGAGTATATAACAACAAGAAGATGCATACTTAGACCAAAAGGCTGTTACTAGAATCGAGGAAGGGAATATCACATGATTTACAAGAATGAAAGTTTTGTGATAGTGCTGTATCTTTTCTCCGTGTATGCCAAGCAAATATTATGAGAGGCTGAACTCGGTGAGAAACACAGCGTTAGGACTAGGGGAAGACTCATCACCAGCCTGCATTATGTGGATGACTGGACATCGCTGGGCACAAGCAAAAAAGACTCGAAATTTTTGCTACAAAAGATCAAAGACTATAGCCTTATACATGGATTAAATCTCAACATCAAGAAGACAAAAATCCTCATCACCGGGGCAATAGGCAACATCATGATATATGGAGAATAGATTGAAATTGTCAACAAATACATCTTAACTGGATCCACAATCAACATCCTTGGTCTTAGAAGTAACAAACATAAAAATCAAAAGCCATGTTGCATTGGGAAAGTTTGCAACCAAGATATCTCAAAAATATTAAAATAGCAATGATGTCAGTTTGAAGACTGAAACATTCCTGATTCAGGTTCCTTTAATCACTTGCTATGCATCTGAGAGATGGACAATTAATAAGGATGACAGAGAATTTATGCCTCTGAGTTGTAGTGTTGGAGAAGAGTACTGACCATCCCACAGACTTCCAAAGAACAAAACAAGTATGTCTAGGAGCATGTGCAACCGGAGCACGCCTTGAAGGCAAGAACAGTGAGGCTTCATGTCACATATTGCGGGTATGTTGGTAGAAGTGCTGGTCCTTGGAAAAGGACACCATGCTTAGGAAGGTGGGAGCTCAGTGAAATAAAGGCCTCTCAATGAAGTGGACCGGCACAGTGACTATCACAGTGGGCCCAAGTATACTAGAGATGATGAGGATGGTACAGACTAGGGCAAGACTGAGATTCGTTGTTCACAGGTCTCGACGAGTCAGCCTGATACTACATGGCAACCACAGCAGCTAGCGATCATCAGCACCTCTTCACGTGTTTATGAGCCATCTTCTTCGGTGAAGTGTCTTTTCGTGGTTCTCTTTGTACTTTTTTTGAGAAGTCTCTGATGCACATAAGGATTCAATATAGGGGAAGTTCAAATCATCTAATTTATTCTCTGCTGAATGTACATTTCCAGGTATATTTGATAGTCTAATTATACCACAGATTGTTACACTGTCTAGGAAATTATCAAACAATATCATTAATATAATATGCAATTAAGATTCTGCTGAAAACTATAAAAAATCGACTGGAACATCACATCAACATAGAACTTCCAGATATGCAGGCTGAGTTTAGAAGAGGCCGTGGCACTAGAGATATTATAGCCAATGTTAGATGTTATCTTGGCTGAAAGCAGAGGAATGTCTATTTGTGTTTCATCTGACTATGCAAAGGGATTTGACTGAGTGGATCACAACAAATGGTGGCTAACCCTGAGAAGAATGGAAATCGCAGGACACTTGGATTGTGCTTTTGCAAAATCTGTACTTGGACCAGGAAGCAGTCCTCAGAAGAGAGCAAGGAAACACTGCATGGCTCAAAATCAGGAAAGGAGTGCGTCAGGGATGCGTCCTTCCTCAATATCTTTTCAATCAATATGCAGAGCAGATCATCTATGAGGCTGGGCTCTATGAGAAGGAATGTGGCATCAGGACTGGAGGACGACATCAACAACCTGAGTTACGCAGATCACACAACCTTGCTTGCTGCAGAACGTCAAGGACTGCAGCCTTAAATATGGATTGAAGCTCAAGATCAAGAAAACAAAGATTCTCACCACTGGGCCAATTGGCAGCATCATGATAGATGGAGCAGAGATTGTTAACAGTTGCAGCTTGCTTGGCTCCACAATCAATATGCTCAACTCTAATGCGGAGAGTCCACCAAGGCCCTATGCTCCCCCCTGAGAAGCCAGGGCTTTCTATTTTCATTTCCCTTGCTGGAAAGCTATCACAAATGTCCCACAAACTCCTCCCTAATGCCTACAAATAACACTAGGGAAAAGTGCCCTAATGGGGCGTAATTCCCTAAGGTTCATTTTCTTCTGTGTACTTGGTCTAGTCACTCATTTAGCTTGTTAGCTCTACATGTTCTTTGTATTTTCTTTAGCGTTTCTAGTTGTCCTCCAAGGAAAGTTGGCTTGAATCACCTAAACAGAACTGGAAACAGAAGGCGCACCCACCATTCTGTAAAGAAAGGCTCTCCTGTTTGTACATCATCATTTTAAGATCTACACACAAATTCTTTCCTATTTCCCTCTCTAAGAGGCAGGGCTTAGTGCCTTCCATAAGCATGGGCTGCAGAGTGAATCACAACTAAGCAACAGCATGGGGCAAACGAAGCAGTCACGGTGGAGCACAGCCCTCCACCCTGTGCTCTGGAATGGTGGCACCTGCCCTAGGGGAAGACAGCTCCAAAGGCAAATACACTCAAGCAGTGCTGTGAAAAGGCTGGCATCAGAGGAGTCCTGTCTACAGACCTGGAGTCAAGGGCTCAGAAGCAGACGTTCACACAACCATTGCCCAGGTCAACAGCAATGAGAGGCCCCCAGCCACATCCATCAGCTCAGGTGCTCAGTCCTGATTCTCCCAAACTGTCAAGTAGTACATATTTGTTATTTAAGCCATTACTTAGACTTTGGGGACAAGTGCTTTTGTATTAACCATTAATTAATAGAGTAAATTTGAAAAAGATCTTTATGTGGCCATAAAAGCAACAGCTTTACAATTTTCCGGAATATTTAATGATACGGAGTAGCACCAGCTTACCGCTGTGTTGCTTCTTTTATTCCTAAACAGAAGCAGAGTCTCTCAGAACAGATGATGTCATCTTCACAATCGTGTTGATGGACAGGCCATTCAGGAAACCCTGGCGCCTGAGCCTAACCTCTTGAAGGGCCTCCACGATGTGGTCTCTGTGAAGGGAAGGTAAGACCACTGATGTTGTCAGTACCATCTCAGAGCGACCCTCCATCGAGTTTCCAAGACTCTGGATTTCTAGGGGAAGACACTGCTCATCTTTCTCTCCTTCACAGCCAGTAGATCGGAACTGCTGACTTGGTAGCCAGGAGTCCTGTATGTCAGGCACCATGCCACCAGGGCTCCTTACAAGGAAAACACACAGGTGCATTTACCCGCCTCAAATAACACATTCAGAACAGCTTGGCTACCAACTTAAATTATACTTTTATGAAGAAAATGGAAAATAACTTAAAAATAATTTTAGGCATTACCTGCTGACTTCAGGGTGTAGCTCGGCCAGTCTCTTCATGATCTTGGCAAAGCTACGCAGGTTCAAAGTATTTGGAGGTATGAACTGACTAGGTACATCAGATAATAACTTAGTAGACTCAATCTCTGCACAATTCTTGACACCCTAAATAAAAAATTTTAAGGTTTCCTCAAAATCAGTAAGAAAGAATAATTTCATAGAGACAATACAGCTTATTTAAAGAAATCCTAAATTTATATAAAGTGCAGAAGAAAAACCTCTGGGAAACTTATTTTCATTTGGAACTATGGATACCAAGTAGATTTACACCAGCACCAGAGAAGGCCATGTGCCAAGAAATACGCCACACGTGCTTTCTCACAGGAATGATGATCAAGTATACGAAGCTATACCTAAATGACACAAGGATTTCATTAATTCTCCCTAACTCTCTCAAAACATAGCCTATAACTAGTTTCAGCATAGACGCAGAGAAAGTGAATTCATTACATAGTTGTTGTAATGTACCATCTAGTGACCTTACGTACAATAGCTCTGAACCCTGCCCTGAGCTTGTCTCACGAATTCTGACACACCAACCCCAAATGCCCCAGTTATTGCATCAATCCATCTCATCCACAGTCTTCCTCTCCTGCACTGTCCCTCTGTCCATCAGAACATGATGTCCTTCTCTAAGGACTGGTCTCTCTTGGCCATGTGCCCAAAGTATGTGAGATAGAGCTTTAAAATTCTAGCCTCCAAGGGGAAACTTGGTTTCACCCTCTCTAAGACACATCTATTTATATTCTTGGTGGTCCATGATATGTTCTAGACTCTTCTCAAGCACCACACCTTTAAGGCATCGATTCTTCTTCTATCATCCTTAGTCATTTTCTACCTCTCCAAAGCATAACAAGTAATTGCAAAGACCATGGCCTGGATTAGATGCACCTTAGTCTCTAGACTGACACTGTTGCTTTTCAGCACTCTGGAGGGGTCCCTAAGAGTAGATTTTCCTAATGTAATTCATCTTTTGATTTCCTGACTGCTGGTGTTAAGTGTTGACTGTGGAACCGAGCTGTAATTGTTAACAACCTCAATCTCTTCTCCATCGATCATGGTTCTGCTAACTGAACCAGTGGTGAGAATCTCTGTCGTCTTGATGTTAAGCTTCAATCCATATTGAAGACTAGTCTTTGACCTTCTGCAGCAAGAGCTTCAGGTCTTCAGTTTTAGCAAGCAAGGCTTTTTTGTCTGCATAACATAGGTTTGTTGATGATTCTTCCTCCAATCTTGATGTCACATTCCTCCTCATAAAGCCCTGCTACCTGAATAATCAGAGTCGGAAACGACTCGATGGCACATAACAACAACAACAACACCTGAATAATCTCTTCTGCATATAGACTGAAAAGGTATGTAGATAGGATGCATCCCTGATGCACTCCTTTCCTGATTTTGAATCACATAACTTTTCCCTAATCTGTTCTGAGGACTGCTTCCTGGTCCAAGTATAGGTTTCACATGAGCACAATCAAGTGTTCTGGGATTCTCATTTTCCTCAAGGTTAGCCACAACTTGTTGTGATCCACACAGTCAAATACCTTTGCATAGTCAAAAAAACACAGACAGACATTCTTCTGGTACTCTTTGCTTTCTGCCAAGATCCATCTGACATCGTCAATAATCTCTCTAGTGCCATGACTTCTTCTAAACCCAGCTTGTATTTCTCGTAGTTCTGTCAATGTACTGTTGTTCAAGTTGTTTCTGGATTATCTCCAGCAGGATTTTGCTAATGTGTGATATTAGTGATACTGTTTCAATAATTTCCACACTCTGTAGGGTCATCTTTTTTTTTGAATGGGAATAAATATGGACTCTTCCAGTCAGTTGGCCCAGTAATTGTCCTCCAGATTTCTTGGTACAACTCGGTGAGCAAATCCTGGGAAGTATCTGTTGAAAACTGTCAATTGTATTCCATCAATTCCTGGGGCTTTATTTTTTTGCCAAGTCTGTCAGAGCAGCCTGACCTTGCTCCTTCATCATCATTGCCTCTTGATCATGTTGTTCCCGGAAATTCTCCTGCCAGCCACTTCTTTTTTTTTTTACATCATGGATGGGATTTTTTAAAAATTATTATTAATGCCAGTGAAAATTTACAGACTTTGGATTTCCATTCATTCATTGTTGCACTTTTCTCCCTGCCCACCACCTATCCCCCCTGCCAGCCACTTCTTTTTGGTACAATGACTCTGTATACTCCTTCAATCATACAATTATTGTTGTTGTTGTTATGTGCCATCGAGTCACCTGAGGTTCATAGCGACCCTATGTACAATAGCTCTAAACCCTGCTCTATCCTGATCCAACCTTATGTATCTCTTACACACCTACCCGCATTGCCCTAGTCACTGACTTAGCCAATCCACCTCGTTCAGGTGTCCCTTCTTGTGCTGTCCCTCCACCGTCCCAGGTATAATGTCCCTCTCCAAGGATTGGTCTCTCCTTGCAACATGCCCAAAGTATGTCAGAAAGAGTTTCAGAATCCTTGCCTCCAAGAGTAGCCTGGCTTCACCCTCTTCAGGATGAAACTGTTCTCTTAGCAGTCCATGGTCTATTCAATATTTTTCTCCAGCACCACAGTCCAAAGGCATCAATTCTCCTTCTATTATCCAGCTTTCTGATGGACAGCATGTAACTGCAACATTTATATCTATCTATGTTGTTGCTGAGTCACAGGTAACTCAGAGCAACCCTATGAACGAAGTCCTGGACACCTCCTGTATAACTTTCTTCCTTTCTCCAGCTTCATAGGGTTTCCCAAGGCAAGCTATTGTGGAAGTGGATGCCACTCCTGCATCTATGTAACTATAGATATCTCATATATATAAGATCTCGATTTGTTCCCATTCTAAAGAAAGGTGACATGACTGTGTGGAAATTATCCAACAGTATCATTATTATCACAAGCAAGCAACATTCTTTTAAAAATTATCCAGAAATTATTTTAACAGCACATCAACTGAGAACTGCCAGATGTCCAGGTTGGGTTTAGAAGAGGCCATTAAAAAAAAAGAAAGAAAGAAAAAGAAGCAGCAGCCATGGTAACTAAGGATATTATAGCTGATGTTAAATGGTATTGGCTGAAAACAGAGGGTACCAGAGGAATGTCTGGTTTTTGTTTTTGTTTTTTTATCGGGTATAAACTGATTATTAATTTTTTTATTTCATTAGCAGCCACGTGTAAGCGAATTTGCCATTTGGATTTAGTTAACTGAATGTGTGTGCTTTATTGACTATGCAAAGGCATTTGACTGTGTGGATCACAACAAACTGTGGCTGGCTCTGAGAAGAATAGGAATCCACCATACAGTAGATGTCTTAAATTTAATTTAGCCTGGTTTAACCCCAGGACAGATCTGTTTCTTCTCTTAGCAGTCCATTTAGTGTTACGGTTAAGAACTTTAAATTGAAGTCATATTGGCTGCATCATAAGAGATTCACGGCAGCATGATATGTTCAGAATCACAGAAATCCTGATGGCTTGAGACTTAGGCCATGACATCAGGGGCTGGTCAATGGGAGATGGGTATTGAATGGTGTAGGCATCCAAGGTGGTGTCACTGCACAATGCGGGTTGTTGATGAATCTTCCTCCCATCTTGATGCCACATTCTTCTTCTACAATCATCTGCTGAGGACGCAGATCGAACAGGAATGGAGAAAGGATACAACCCTGATACACATCTTTCCTGATTAGAAAAACCCCTCGTCATATAAAAGGGAGCTCTAGTAGTCTTGTAAGGACTTGTGATGCAACACAAAACCAAAGGGTCTAAATCCACAAGCTGCTCTGCAAGAGCAAGACGACACACTATCTCCTGCGAGATTTCTGGCCTCTGAAAACCTACTCGAGAATCAGCTCTAAGTTGGTTCTGATTCAATGGACATAACAATTACAGTCATATAAAATATTACCTCCTTCATTTTTGGATCATATAATCCAAGTGAAGAGAGAAACTAAAAATTATACAATTAATTACTATTAGCCTAACAAGTAAACTTTAACTTGTATGAAACTGTGCATCCCATAGATGCTTAATGAGTGGAGAAATCAGACTTGAAAGCATGGATGAGGAGATTGGTCTCATCAGAATACTGTCCATTTTACTGAATTCCTGACGGCTTTGTCTTCTGCACTAGAACAGGCTCCAGCGGGCACACCCAGGTTTTGTCTCATGTACTGTTGCCTTCTACGTCTAGAATAATGAGCTCAATTGGGAGGTAGTAATTGTTACCTTCACACTTTTACCCATAAGCCAAGGTGCCTTACAGAATGCCATATAAACTCTTCTCTGCCAACTCAATGGCCCACTGCCACAGCTGAATGGTTCAAGAGTATTATCAACTGATTCAATGGACACAAAATCATAGGGTAAAGATAAAGACAAATGATCCAAACACAAAATGGGCACAAGTATTGTAAAGAGTAGACACCACAGAATATATTAAGGTGGTCAGGAAATACATAATACTCAAAATCTCTAGTTATTAGATGCAAATTAAGACAACAATGGGGGGAAAGAAGGAGAAATCTGTGCAACAATGAAAGCATCTTTTTAAAGAGAAAAGCGAACTAGGGGGTTATGGAGGAAAACGTGCAACACTGAATGAATGGAAATCCAAGTTTTCCGTAAACTTTCATTAAAATATCTATGAAAAAAAAACCCCAAACCAACAATGACATATCATATCACTCTAGCAACAATAGCAAAGCTCAACATAATAGCAAACAACAAATGTCAGTGAGGATGTGGAGAGATTAGAACCCTCATGCAATGCTGGTGTGAATGTAAAATATTACAACCACTAGAAAGCAGTCTGACACTTCCTCATAAACTTAAATATAGTAAGAACCATTTAATCCAGCTATCCTACCACTGGAAATATACCCTTAAGAAATCAGAGCTGTGAGACAAACAGATCCATGCTCACTCATTTTTACTGAATCGGTATGGAGAAAACTTTGACAAACACCCTTCTTCATTTAAAATCAATTTAGTGTTCCCTGTATCTGTCCACACAATAGCCTCTTGGTCTAGTTATAGGTTTTGCACGAGCACAATTAAGTGTCCTGAGATTCCCATTCTTCTCAATGTTAGCCTC